CGGAGGCGCCATGGCGACCACCGTCACTACTCAGCGGGGCCCGGTGAGTGCTGTCGGGCGGGGGGCAGCCGCAGGGGCCGCCGAAGGGCGTTTTCCGTTAGTTCCTGCGGCCGCCCCGCGTTGGGCTGGTGAGGCCCGGCCGGGACCCTTCTGGCCTTGGGCTTCTCCTTCCTCCCCCGCCCTCGGCCCGGCTCCTGTCGCCGGGAGGGTGACTCTCCCTTCTGGGCTGCGACCCTGCTCCCGCTCGCGGCCCGTGGCAGAGCGGGGAGGGAAGAGCCCTCCGCTTCTGCCGACTGCCGCGGCACGGGGGCGGGCGGGGAAGGCACCTCTGCCTCCCCTCCCGGCCCTCCGCCTGGCCAGAAGGCTCTGGGACGCCGGAGGGTAAAGTCCCCCCGATCTGCGGGTACGGCTCGGAGAAGCTGTTCTGCCCGTTCTCTGTCCCGGGGCCTTACGCAGGAGGGGACGGCGTAAACTAAACCACAGCTAAACCTCCTTCTCTTTGAAGCAGAGCTGAGCTTTCAGGTTTCGTGGGTCGGCTGAGCAGATTCAGGTAGCTGCCTCTGAAACTGCTGGAACGTGCTGAAAGATGCCCTTCACTAGTAGCCTGTAGGTGTGTGTGCTGGGAGGAACTGAGCAGTCTTAAAACCGTTTTAACAGTCTTCTGGCAGTTAATGTTAATAGTTTATTGGGAACGTGTTATTATCTAGTTTTGCCCAGGAATAATCTTGCCTCACACCGGGATGTTCTGCTATGTGGTATATAACTGCGGCATAACATCAGCTCTCGGTTGATGTGCTGTTCCTGTCCCTGCTGGCTGGAAGGATCTGGTAATAATTGACAATTCGATGTTCTGCAGATGAAGTAAGATTTTTCTTAAACAGTCAGTTGAAACGGATGTATTTTATTTCCTATAAACAGCTACTTTTTTTGCTGTGTCTGTGCAGCCTTGATGAAAGACCAGAGTGAATTACTAAACTGCTAATTTTGGAAAAACTGCATCACTGTCTGTTGTTACCTCGTGACAGTAATATTATATGATCATCAGTTTAATTCCTTAAAATGCCTTATTTGTCTGGTCTTCCAGAATAGATTCCTTTTACAGTGGATTGTCATGATGGTTCTGTTGTTGAAATAAAAGTGGAGAATTAAGATAAAAAAGTTAATTAAGTTGCTTTGATGTCTGTTGATGGTATCATGAAAAGACGAGTGCTGTTCCGGTTGAATCTGTGGTGAATTAGGTAGCTTCTATCCCCAAAGGCTTGATTTTTGAGAGCTGATGGTGTGTTTGCACCCAAATACGATTCTGTCAGTATGTAACAGTTTTGGTCAAAATAATATAAATACCTGTAAAATAGTTGGGGTTTGTTTAAAAGTAACTTCACTTCTAGTTATCTTCTAGTTTATGTTTGGAGAACGTTGGGCAGATTGAGAGAATTTATGTGGAAGTAAGGATAGAAGGAATTGGAAACAAACTATGTGGTTTGGCTAAAGCTGAACAGTAGGCCTGACCGCAGTCTTGATTTGTGGAGAGGTGAAATGGTGCAGATATTTCTATCTCTCAAAGGACTGGCATGTCTTTTTAAGAGAAGTTTTACTTTCCTGTGGTGCTAAACACCTTGCTGGTATTTAGTGGAGCTTGTTTTAGCTTGGTGAAGTCTTCTTCCTGTATTGAGATATGATTTTAGTGAGATCCTTCTTGGACATGGTTATAATCTTGCAGATATTGAATATCGTAACTGCCTAGTCTTAAATTTCTTTAAGGAACTGCATCAGTGCTTATGACGTTATTCTTCTAGATATCTTATTTTAGAATTACCCAGATACTCCTGCATAATCTCTTGGCAATCTGCTACTTAAAATTGATTTAAGCCTGACAAATACAAAGGTTTATGGTGATTGATCTTGTACAACTTTGCCTTTCTAGTTTCTGTTTTTTTTTTACATGTTCCTGACATTGTTGTGTATGCTTTTCTTCCTTGCCTTAACCACTTTAGAGATCTGAATGTTTTCAAATGAATGAAAAAATTATGCAATATTAAGCTGCCATTCACAGGTAAAGATGATGTTGTGGTACATGCAGCCTTTGTTAATTTGCTCTAGAGTGAAAAAATTCTACTCGTTTCTATATATACAATTGCATTACAAATGAATAGCCACTAAACGGTGCTAAAGGATTGGAAACATTTTCTCTAGTGCTGCAGGGAACAGTTCTGTCTGCTTCTGTTTGAACAGGCAATAAAATATTCAAGGTTGTTTCATGCAGTTAAGAAAAAAAAAATATGCTAATATACTGTTGCCAGTCTTGTTCTTATAGCTGTGCTTTCTAGTTTGTGATAACGTTTATTTGGTGAGTAATTAAAATTTGATTGCTGTGTAGTTTTTCAGATGAAACAGAGCTGGAATTCATCCTGTCTGTTACTGGTGAAGATTCTGCTAGAATTTAGATTTCTCTGGCTGCTTTCAAGATGTTGTGGAATTACTATTTTCACATCTTGTGACCTTTTGAGAACAAAACAGCTTTTGAAATCTAAATCATAGCTGAATATGTAAGGGCTGCTAAGTGAGACGTATTAATTAACAGTTTAATCAGGCTTCAGGTTAAGTCTGAGGCACCAAGACCTTATAATTGTGATTCCTTAGCTAGCCAAGCACACACAAAATTAATCTCTGTGGTTATTCATCATGCTGGCAAATATGTCAGGTCCTCCAAAAGTAGATCAAGTTTCAAGCTAGGGCTACTTAGATTTCTGCTCCTAATTTCCCTAGTAATCTGATGATTTGCAATCTAATAGGTGAGCTATATTTCTGATTACTTCTCTTTTCTTGTCCTAATACTGTTATTTAACTACATAAGTTGTCGTCTCTGATTTAACTTGGTTTTGTCTTGAGACTCTTCACAACTTTGATATCCTTTTTTTCTGAATGAAGGTGACAAAAATGAAATTCCCGTTTGTTTTGTCCAGTATTGATATATGCTATCCCACAAGCAATGTTGAATACAAAGTTCCATCACCAAAATAATCATGTTGATAATTCTGGGTGTAAATGAGTATTATATTAGATACTGTTTCTTATTAGAATGTGGATTTATGTAGTATAACAATCCTGATCTGTGAAGGTAGAGACTTCATAAACACACATTGTTGCAATCAATTTGGATTTCAGAAGTTGTTTAAAAAGTTGAGGGAGTAAGGTGTCATTGAGTGTTTCTAAGCATATTGTGAATTAATTTTCAAGTGCTGTGCTCTGATGTCTGGAGCACGTTGCTTTGACAGAAGATGTTGAGGGCAGCATTCATAATGCTTTGAAGTTCTTGCTCCCTATCAGATACCTTAAGGCACTTATTTTCTGTTGCATCCAATGGCATTCTTTTAACCAAGACCTTGGAGGAAAGATAGATCTGTATTGGTATGTCTAGTGGTAGAGTAGAAAAAAAGTCAGAAGTCTGTTCCTGAAATAATGGTAGTTGTCTGTCTTAATGCTAATCCCAGTATGATTTCATGGGTTTTCTTATTTCAAGCTGCTTCTATGGCTTTTCCCAGTGTTAATCCTCTGTTACTTTGAGTGCAGACCAAAATCGGTGCAGCTCAAATGTTAAAAATGCTTCTTGAATTTGAGATGTCTATGGACACTCATTATGTCTTTAATTTTTAACTCATTTGCACACAGTAGTTCCTGCCATACTTAGCAGGAATTCAAAGTATTGTTTTAGTGAAGAAGGGATCTTTTTTTATTATAATCAAATGGTTCATATTGATTTCTTATTCAGTAAAACCAAACTTTCTTATCTTTGGTAACAGTTGTGCTTTTGCACTGTGGAGCGTATTTTGCAAATATTTAAATGTTAAGCTCTTGGACAGTTTTAGACGTACTGGGAAAATAGAGAGGCAGTAGCTTGTGGCAAAATACTTAGTCAAGACTAAATATATGTGGTGTAATTGGAGGAGAGATGACTATTAAGATTATGACTATAGACTCATAAAGCCTTTACAGGTAGACATATAGAAGCAATGGAAGCGATGAAGTAGATGGGAAATTTATGGCAACAGGTAAAAATCAAAACCAGAGAAGAAATATCTGGTACCTTGCAGTAATATTTAAACAAAAAAACCCCAAGGAAAATCTCAACAAACACCACCCTCACGCCACCCCACCCCCCCCCAAACAGAAAACCAAGCAAAAATCTGTAAATGTAGTAAACTTAATTGCTGTTATATTCTTTTCTTTGTCCATCTCTAAATTGAAATTCTGAAGCAGAGCCTTTGAGTACAATTCTACAGGAGTTTAACTGGGGCATGTGTGGTGATACAACATGAGTTTTATGGAATCAGGAAACAGTTCAGGTTAGAAAGGATTTCAGGAGGCCGTGTAGTCCAACCTCTTGCTAAAAACATGGTCAATTTTTAATTCAGACCAGTCTGCAGGGCTTTGTGCAGCGGGATCTTCAAAACCTCAGAAGTCATTTTTCCAGTCTTCCTGCGCAATCTGTTCCTCTCCTGTGGTTGTCCCTGCGGTGATTTTTTTTTTTTTCTCCTTATTTCATGTCAAACCTCCTCTGTTTCAGATTCACAGTTGAGGTCTGCTTTCTTCTTGCCTTGCATCTCAGAAGAGCACCTGGCTCTGTTTTCTTAATGACCTCCTCACAGATACTGGAAAGCTGCTACAAGGTGCATCTTAAGTTTCTTCTACTCTAAAATTCTCAGCCTGTCCTCACAAGTCTTGTGCTACAGCCCTTTCATAGCCCATCTTGGTGGATCTTTGCTGGGCTCACTCAAGTTTATAATCTTTTGTGTACTGCTGAGCTCCAAACGGGTTGCAGTATTCCAGATGTGGTCTAATGAGTGCTGAGTAAAGGGAAACAATTGCTTTCTTTAGCCTACTGGCTAGGCTTTTGTTGATCCACAGGAGTATGCTGTTAGGCTTCATTGTTGTGAGCATGCTCTGCTCATTCATGTTTAGCATGGTCTCCACCAGAACCCACATGTTCTTCTCTGTAGAGCTGCAGCCCTGCCAGTTGTTCTTCAGTCTGTACTGGTGCCAGGGATTTTTTCTGTCCAAAGTACAGGACTTTGTACTTCTTGTTGAATTTCATGAGATTCCTGCTAGTGAATTTGTTTGTGTCTCTGGGTTGTTCCTGTCCTCAAGTATGCCAGTCATCTAAAAACTGATAAGGGTGCATTCTGTCTGTGACTCCATTTACTGATAAAGAAAAATATTGTACACATAAGTTAGTCTCAGTACAGATCTCTGAGAAACTTTGCTTTTAACCAACCTCCAGTGTCATTAGCCACTGAGCTTTAACTTCTGAGCTCAGTGACCCAGCCAGTTTTTCATCCATCCATTGGTCCACCCATTTGGATTGTAATGACCCCTCTGTGATACCTACAGTGCTCTCATTATTCATAGGTTCTAATATTTTTATTGTGAAAGGCAGTTGGTCTCCTTAGGCGCCTTTTTTTTTTTTTTAAAGCCTTAGTAAAGGCTGGCTCTTCCTAGTCTGTTTTTTTCTTCATATGTCTAGAAACAGCTTCCAGAAGGACTTGCTCTATGGATTTCTTGGCAACTGAAGTGAAGCAGACCTGTGGTTCCTCAGGTCATTCTTCTGGCACTTTTGAAAGCTGGGTATGAGATTTGTCTTTCTCCAGTTACAGGGGACTTCCTCTAATCTTGATGCTTTTTCGAAGATTATAAAGAGTAGCCTTGGAAAAATACTCACTAGCTCTTTCAGTACCTCTAGATGCATCTTATTTGGTCCCAATTTTTTCTTTAGTGTGCAAAACATAGAATAACAGTTCAAAATTCTCTCATTCACTCATTCTTTCTTACAAACAGTAAAACCTTTTAAAGGAGAATAGTTAGATCTTTTTTGAGTAGCTAGGTGTGTAAAGCTCTTTAATGTGAAACTTCATTGTGTGAAACCTAGTGTCAGAATTTCTTAGTAATTGCTAGTGTGGAAACCTTACTTAAGGTTTCCTGAATTTATCATGTCTTGGCATATGGTTCCATAAATCAGGGCATTTGTGATTGTCCTTGTCTCTGCATCCCCTTTCCCTTCCTTATGTAGAACCAGTACTCAACATGATCAGTGAGTGAGGTAAAGGTCCCGATGACTTCACCTCCTCTTTACCTCCAACCCTTGTTTCATTTCTTCTGATCAGCCCTCTGCACTAGGGTACTTTACACCTGCCTTGGCACCATTTAATGTTGCACAAGAAATAGGAGTGAAAAGAAACAGGCAGGTGAGACTGAGACAACTCAAATAGCTGTAGGACATCACACCGCCTTCAATTTGAAGAAGTTGAGATGCAATTTTTATACTTGCAGTGTTTCTCACTTTAAAGTTCCTCAAATTTAGCTCATGGGTGGTTTGAGCAGATAGGAAGGGCAATGTTATTCCATTTCTAGATAATTGTATTTTTTGATATGCAGTGCTGTCAGTAAAGTTCATTAGGAAGTAATTGCAAGGCAGACTTCCTTTTTATGAATGTCTGTTCAACATTTGTCTTCAGAATTGTAGTTCTATCATAGCACTGTCATATTGGCATCTTGCTTGAAGAAAGAATGCTAGTAAAATTCAAATGTTAAATTGAATTATTTTTTTTCTACAGTTTTTGGCAGAGTGGGTTTGAATTTCACATTCTTCCTTAAATGTTATAGTAGAGGGAAGTACATTTGTTTTAAAGTGGGTGTTGAGTAGGTGTGTCACTTATGTTCTCCTTGCTTTAAAAACAAAAACTGTGGTTGAACTCTGGTTATGTAACTTTGTATTTTTGATTCGGGTTTGGAGGTGGCAATTCTGTGTCTGCTTTTAAATGCTTCAAGGAAGACGTAAATGAGCCTGTTTTTACAGATAAAAAGATTGCACACTACTGATTTGTTTCCATCAATATGGAATCAACTGATAATTAGCATAAGAACTTACTGAGTAATGTGTTTTCCTCAATAAGCATCTCTCCTAAATATTTTACTGAATGTATCACCAGGACTTGTGTACCAGATGTCAGTCAGAGCTGAACATTTAAGATGGGAGTGTATGCATCTCCTGTTCCCTACTCTTCCTTTTGGAGGGGTTTACCACTCGGATCTTTTGAGAGTTTAGTTACACTAGCTGTTTTCAGGTTCTGTGTATGTCTGCTCTGTAGTTCCAGGATGAGAATGTAGCTTTGTGTGAGAGAACTGAATTCCCTAAAATCAGCTTAGATTCTTTAAGAAAACTTTGGTCTCCCTTAGTAGATTTTGTTTGTCCCTTTTGGACCTCAGTACAGAGACTAGTATCCCTATGTTAATTTGGAGCAGTATTTTGGTGACTTAAAATTTTAAAAGTGAAAGATATTGTTAGACTATGATTGTGAGTGAATTAAGCTCTTATGTCCATGTTAAGATGGTGGAGACAAAAGACATTGTCCTGTTTTCTGAGGTTGACAGAGGGAGCCTGCACATATGGGAATGTAACTTCAGGGCTGCAGCCACCTCTTCTGACTATGGTAAATCTTTATAATGTCTTTTCTTGGAGACACTAATAATATCAGATGTGAAACTTCCTGGAGGTCAAGAGTTGGAGGGGACCTGTTGTGTTGTAAATGCCAAATCTTTCCTAAATTGATTGTTTTATTTTAAAACTAATTCCTTTTTTTATAACATGTATTCTAATGAGAAGGCTGTTCTAAGACCCTGTCTAATGCTAAATAAGCATTCTTTTAATATTAGAATTATCTTTTAACTTAATTTTGTTGCTCTCTGCCCTTGTTTTCTCCTCCTGCTTTTTAAAACTTAAGCTACTTAGGATCTTAACTGTGAAATTTTAAGACGCTTGTAAGCAAAACTGATCCCCTCTTCTCCCTCCCAGTAGCCTCGCAGCAGGCGTTCAGTACTTCCTCCATAGCTTTTTTGATAACTTCCTTTCTGGCAAGTAACACTTACTGTTGCCAGGATCCTGAGGCACTCGGATAGCAGTAGTCATACCAAATGTGATTTGGCAAGAGCTGCAGTTTCTGTCTCCAAGATACAATCTTGACATGCAAGTGCTGTCTAATCTTCAAAAGCTATGTCTTACAGGCCTGTTAACTTCTTAAATTATGTTCTGTAGGCATGCATCTGCCAGATGTACAATTGAGTAATCTTGCGTGGGATTGCAACATGACAAATTGCACTGTCTTTTGTCTTGATTTGGTGGACAATTTTGTATTAAATTTGTAAGGGACTCTATAGACAACAGACATGAGCACAGCTTAATTTTAAATTTTCTATGCTGCTTTATGTGCCTATTAAAATTTATTATTATGGTATGCTTGTTGTTTTAATGTTATGCCTCAAAATGTGTTATTGATAATGTTTCACTGAACATTTAAAACCTAGAAACAATCTGAATTGTTGAATTGACAGTAATAGGTAGAAATTTTCCTCTTTTAGTGTAAAGCTAATAGAAACTGCATGGTGACAGTTGATTCATATTGGCACATGTGAGTCCCTCTAGTACTTCTACTTTAAATTTTTTGTCATGATTCTTTCTTATGATAGTCCAGACTTCGAGTTCCTCCATTATGGTTTTGAGTATGGTGGGATTTTGTCCACAAATTGTTCCCAAGGTTACTTGCAGGCTGGCTGTGTTTAATGGAAAAGCATTAGGGCATCTTTGTTACAGTGAAGGATTCTTAGTTATGTTGAAGGATTTGGTTCATAGGAAACCCTGTCTTTATGATCTGTCTTGAAGGTGGTTGTGAGGATGACCCTTTCAAATGAAAGCGGTGTGCTAAGTCTTGTCACAAGAATGACTGGCTGCAACATGAGTGATAAGTGCAAGAGCAGGGTGCCATCAGATGTCATGTGTGAATGACATGTAAAACTTGGTAGCTCTAACTTTTGTACGGACTACTTAAATGTTTAGTTGCAGAGCAGCCTTAGCTCTGTATGTCCTACTTTTTTTTTTTTTCTTCAGAGGCTTATGTTGGAAATTAGTGTTTTTGAAAGTGAGTATGAGAACATTCTCTACGTGAGTTGGCAGTCTTGTCATTCAGTTAGTTCTTTGTTCGTGTTGTCAAAACTAGACTAAATTCTGCTGAATGCTTTTTCTAAGCCTTGATTTATATTATTATCCTTTTCATTATGAAAGTGGAAAACCCAAGTTTGACACTTGTCTCTTTATCTTTTTTAAGGTGTATGTTGGTGAGCTTCCTCAAGATTTTCTTCGCATTACCCCAACCCAGCAGCAACAGCAAATCCAGCTGGATGCCCAGGCAGCTCAGCAGCTACAGTATGGAGGACCAATGGGTACAGTAGGCAGACTCAGCATTACTGTTGTACAGGTATAAATTATACCATCTTTGTACAGTCAAGTAATTGCAATTAACCAATTAACCTTTTTGCTTGGTGGCCATAAAAAGATTTTGTGTTGGAATTTGTTACTAAATTATTTGTATATAGGGAATGGGTAATTTTGATAGTTTTTCTAGCTTCATGTTTGTGTACATCAGCATTTTGTCCAGTTTCATAGCTGCATCTTGCAGGGTGCAGCAATTCTCTGGAAACCACGCATTATAGCACATAATCAAATAAACTCATGTGTGTTTTGCACTGGATAGGTTTCTCTGAAAACTTCTGTTAAGAAGGCTTCCTGCAGAAACACTTGATATTGGAAGACATTAGCAATTTTAAGAATATTGTAGAGAACTGCATTTGCCTTACATATTTTTCCTTAAGTGACTGCTCTGCTCGCCCCCATTTCCTCTAATGCATTTGCTGTTTTCCCTAGTGCTTTCTGCAGGCTTTCTTATTAACCACAGGTTTGTAGTCTGAGCTCTTTATTTTCCACCTCCTCTTTTCCCTTGTTATCCTTTCTTTTATCTCTTGGCAGTACTATATTACTGCATTCATTATGTGTAAGATTTCAGGTTTTAAAACTTGTCTGTCTTAACACAATTCTGTTTTTCTACATTAGCATACCAGGTGTTCTTCATATTAACTTAACACACCTCATCTATTTACAAGTGCTGTTGTCAAGTTATTCTCTAAAAACATACCGAAGAGATGTTTAGCCTCAGATTTAGCACCAAGCCTTCAATAGTACACGTATGGCTACAGCTTTGCTGGTGAGGTCTGTATTGGGGAGTAAACCTATATAGGGTGTCTCAGGAAAAGAGGCTTTTGTCTTTCCTGTCTATGCCTTTCACTGGTCAGTTTGCTTCTTCTCAGCTGATATCCTTTTGAAAACTATGGATAATGCTTTTTCAAAGTTTCTTTCTTCTAAGGTCTGGACACTTGAACTTGCTCGTTGCATTCAGTTGCAGCCTTGTCTAGGTCTGACGGTTTCCCAATGTGTGTTCGGAGAGCGTAAGATTGGAAGCCTCTCTGCAACCTTGAACGGCAGGAAAATGTTACTACTCTTAGAGCATAGTGGAAGAACCTTTACTACAGTTTTTTTTCCAGAGCTAGGAATAGATGATTCAGGTTAAACCTCAGGCCTGTAAGGAAACAAAACATTTATCAAATGACATGCCATGTCTCACTTCACTGTCTAGCAATTTCTAGTAACTTGCATGCTCCCAGGTTGTTCATCTTTGGCTCTTTGCTTGGTTAGCTTAAAGTGCTTTTGGTCATGGGATGTTGATCCAATCCAATATAGATGGTAGAAGTTCCTGGAGCAGATAAGGGGGCAAACAGTGCAGTGTTCAGGAAGTTTTGTGTCTCAATTTGAGTGGTTATGTAGAGAAACATCCAGATTCTGTTTGGATGCGTTACTGATGGAGCTGATACTGGTCTTTATCAGGTTCAATCCTCATTTATTTTTAGGTGCTTGCGCAGATGAGAAAAAAACATTTATCTTGCTTGAAGAGTAAAACCTAATGACTCTTCTTGATGCCATGTCTGTAAGTAACTACTTTTTATAGAATCACAGGATAGTTGAGGTTAGAGAGGACCTCTGGAGTTTTAGTCCAAATATCACTCCACACTTACTACCTTGCTTACAGTCCCTTAATTAAGGATTAAGGAGGATGTTACATACAACGAAAGAGAGAGCGAGCTGGGGAAGTCTTAATCAGAATCTTATCAATGAGTAGTTTCCGCCATCAGGAATTTATGAAGACGACAGTTAGGCTCTCTTCAGTGCTATCTAGAGGAAAGACAAGGCACTGAGCATAAATTGAAATACAGTAAATTTTATTTAAATACTTAAAAACACTTTTACTCTTGAGAGCTGTCAAACACCAGAACAGATTGCCCAAAGGGGTTGTGGAGCTTCCATCCATGGAGATACTCAGAACTTGCCTGAGCATTTGACCTTGCTTTGATCAGGGAGCTTGGAATAGACAATCTCTAGAGGTCCCATCCAGCCTCAGCTATTCTGTGATTCTGTAAAACCATTAATTGTGTCAGTGGCCCTTTGCTGGTCTTGTTCAAGTGTGACTGTCTTCTACTGGGCAGTCCAGAACTAAAGAGAACAGTACTCCAGATATGGTCTCCCCAGTGCTGAGCAGAAGGGATCATCTTCCTTGACCTGCTAGATGTGCTTTTCCTAGTGCAGCCCAGGATGTTGTCTGTCTGTCTTTCCTGCAAGGGAGCATTGCTGGCATATTTGCAACTTGGTGTCCACCAAGACCCCCAGGTCCTTTTCTGCAAAACTGCTCTCCAGCCAGTTGGCCTACAGCCTATAGTTACGCATGTGGTTATTCTTCCTCAGGGGCAGAACGCTGCATTTTCGGTTGCTAAACTTTGAGATTCCTTCCCAGCTCTTTTCTAGCCTGTCAAGGTCCCTCTGAATGGCAGTACAACCCTGTGGTGTCCTAAGAGAGAGTCCTGCCTGGGAGTTCATGCAAGCATACTGTGGGAATCCTGGCGGTGTATTGCATCACATGGCATTCTGGATAGGCTAGTTACCGTGGCATAGTTAAACTGTGGAACATGAAAACCTGGTTGAAGGCTTTTGTATTTAAATATGTGTTGATAAAGTATATAGAACAGCATGCCTTAATTCTGTTACTAATAAACTGGTGGAAGATCAGAAATTGTTTTTTGGGAAGGTAATTCACTGGTTTGTTTTGTTTTTTTTTTTTTTTTTTTTTTTTTTTTCTTGCAGATATATAGGAATGGTGGTGACTTTGTCTTAAGTACAGTTGATTTGTCCTCTTAAATTACTAGACAGACAATATATATGCTCTTTTTTCTTTTGGTGAATTTTTATGATAAACTGTTTAATTTCAGGATTTCAGAGTCTATAGAGTGCATAATTCAGGTGCCAACTTTCTTACTTTAATTGTTAAAAACTACATTTACAAGAAACTGTTTGAGACCTTTCTCACCATCTCTGTGTGGATTGTTGAACCAGGATGTGCCCTGAAAGAGAGAAGAACTTTCCAGGCCAGAGCTGCAGCCATTGTGATTAAATCTTATGGAAGTCTCAATTGTTCCAGTTGTTTAAATGTCCTTCAGGTGGAAGGCATCCTAGGCACCATATTTTGTCACTTGTCTGACTGTAAAAAGAAGTATAGGCTGCTCTAGTACAGACCAGAGAAACAGCGTGTCCAAATGGTCCTGTTTGTACTTTGGCATAGCTATGCAACAGTGCTCAGTGTTGTCTTCAGGACTGTCATCGACTTGTTTTGTTCTATTCCTCTAATGTTACAGCAAGATTATGTTGGGTATCTTCTGATTCTATACACTATCTGTTTTTATAGTAACATAGAACTTAAGTTGCCCACTGAATTAAGTAATATCAAACACGCACACTGAATTAAGTAAGTTTTTTAATCACTTTGGAAAAATATGATCTACTAGTTTTTACCTCAGTTGAACTGCTTTTGCAGTTTGTGCTTTTGTTCTGTGATAGTGATGCTACTGGATTTCTGTATTTCATCCTTCAGCGAAAGAGGACAGGCCTCTCTCTTTGTATATTGGAGAGCAGATACCTAGGCAAAAATTGAACTTGTTACTACTTCCCTGCAATCATGTATCTTTTGGTTTGGTATGAAGTAACTTATTTTAGCTATAGTGAAGATACATATTTTCTACAACAGACATTTTTAGGTTTCCCAGGCATTGACTGGTGTCATTGGCTTTATTTATAGTCTGAATGCTGTTTTTCTTGATTCTTTTTTTCCTTCCTGTCTACTTCATAAGTGAATCTAGCTCTTTGCTCAATATTTGATTCTCTTTGTTAACTATACTAGCAATTAACTTCTCAGTGTGAATATTGTCCACTTATAGGCTTTCTTTTCTTTCCAGGCAAAACTGGCAAAGAACTACGGAATGACCCGCATGGATCCATACTGTCGAATACGGCTGGGGTATGCTGTGTATGAAACTCCAACAGCACATAATGGAGCCAAGAACCCCCGCTGGAACAAAGTTATTCAGTGCACTGTTCCCCCGGGTGTGGATTCTTTTTATCTAGAGATATTTGATGAGGTCAGAATTGCTGTCTGTTTTGTTTTGTGTTTGTTTTTGTTTTTGTTTTTTTAAACGCTTCCCCATCTCCTGTTTGGACTGAGGTTTGGGTGAAATCTTGCAAAAAAAGATGGAGTTACCAAAGGCTGTTTCTTAGCTGTGCTCTCTGGGAGGTGGCAAAGATTTTTCAGAATCCCAAGAGCAGCAATACGTAAGGCTTCAGGCTTCCCCAAGAATGTCAGAGCTGTTACTTTTCCTTTGGTAGCTGATAAGGGTCGTTAGCAAGGTTCCCTGCAAAGGAAGAGAAGTAAAAATGTCTGAATGGTGTTTAACCTCCTCTTTGCTATCAAAATGCCCCACAGCCTTGTGTTCTGTACTGTCCTTATTAAAAAATAGTCTGTTTATACATTACAATGCTGTTTTACTCAGAAATTCTTCAGTGTTATTCTAACCCGGGAGGAGCTTGGAAAATGCTGAAGATAAAAACTGTCAGATGCAGACTGTCTGTAGGCACCAGGATTTATAAGCACAAACTAGAGGCTACAACTGAGGCTAAAGTCTGTGATTTGCCTTTTTTATTGCCTCTCTTACTGTGTGTAGTAAAACTTGACACTGCAACAGCTGTTTGGCCATTACACAAGTGAAGCTTTTGGATGCTGTTTTGTGGGCTTAGTGATGAGCTGAAGTATCTGTTTCGTTGTTGCAACAGGGGTGGCAGATCAGTCCTTGTATCTGCCCTTGAATTACTGGAGTTCACAGTCTGTCCTAGTAAACAGAAGCCATTGACATTAATTTAATGGCCTCTGATATGGTTTCACTATTCATAGAGACTATGCTGATATTAGTATATTTCTAGAAGTGTTCTGCTTCAGATTTTCAACTTAAATATCTGCAATCAATCAATAATCCCACTTAATGCATCATTCATCCTTGTTGGGAGATGGCTAAAATATTTGCTGACAATGTAGTAGTTTCAAAAAGAATAAATTAAAAATAAAATTGGCAAAATGAAATAGCATAAAACTGAAGGAAGTGCTAGTCAAGAATAATTTTATGACTTTTTTTTCCAGGACAATTAACTTGATGATAAAATGTTTTTTAATTATATTTTAGCGGGCCTTTTCAATGGATGACCGTATTGCTTGGACGCACATTACAATTCCTGAGTCTCTGAAACAAGGAAATGTGGAGGATGAATGGTATAGCCTGAGCGGAAGGCAGGGTGATGACAAGGAAGGAATGATTAATCTGGTTATGTCGTACACGGTAAGCCAAGTTTGGGCTGGGAGGAGGAAGGGAGAGAAGCTTCTTGGGTAGTGGTACTTTACTGAGTGTTTGTGTTAGCATTGAAAATAATTATAGAAAATAGCAGTCAAAAATATTAGTTAAGGCAGTAAATAATTTCTGATGAGGTGGTAAGTGGGTATTTATTTATCTGGTTTTGTGATTACAAAAGTTCATCTTATTCCTGTCCGAACAGAAGTATAAAAAAAGTCAAATGGTCACTGTCACTTCCAGTTTAAGAACAATAATAATTTTTTAAAAGCTTCATGGAATCTAACAATAGCTCTTTTTTTTTTTTTTCCCCTCTAAATCTTTAGAAATTCCTGTCACTTTAAAAGCAAAAATAATGGAAACTCTTCTGTCTTGGCTCTTTCTTGGATAGTTTGAAAGCTCTTTCTGATGACTTTGTTTATTTTCATTCTTGTTCATTTGGTGCTCTTGGTCATGTACTGCTGACTTGCACTGGTCCATTTAGCAGCTCATGGACAATTCTGTCCTCTGTCACCTTTCTCTTAGTAGCTGTTGGACAGCGTGTATAGCGTGTGCAGCCCTGAATGCTTCCTACCACACCTGTACAGCATCAAGAGTTCCAAGCTAATGTTTGAGTGCACAACTGGGAACAGATGTTCTCTGCTGTTTGAAATTCATTCTGCCCCATATCTGAGCAGTTGTTCCATTACCCCTAAGAGAAATGAGTTTGTAATTAACATTTAAAACTGTCTGCCCATGAATGTACCGTACGTAGAATCTGACCTTTTAATATTTTCCAAGATTAAACTGAACAGGAAATGTGGTATTTAAAGGGAATGTAGTTGAATTGATATTTTGTTTAAAGTACTGGTTTACCTCAAGAATAATCGATTTGAACTAAGATTTGCTTCTAGAAGTTTGTTTTTTTTAGGAGCTAGTGCTTTTACTAAAATTCAGGTTTGCTCTTAAGATTTAATTTATGATGGATATGTTGTATATTCATTTCACAGGAGTAAGGCATGGAAGCTGATTAAAACCATATTTTAAAATAATTTCCTTCAGTAACAAAATGTCAGTGACAAAATTTATCATACTGTTGCAAAAAGCTAGTTTCACATGATGTGTTTATATTGATTTACAGACAAATTAATTGTCATTTAAAAGGATGGTAGTTCAGTTAATTTGCCAGAGGTTTTACTTAGTATAGATTAGCACATAGTATAGTCATACTGTAATATGGAACATGGTTGCAATGTGACACTTTGTTTGCAAGTACTGTTTTAAATATTTTAATTGCTGGTTTAGGTTTTGCTGTTTCTTGAGTAGTTCTGATCTGTTCTAATCTGTTTTGTGTCAAGTCTTTGCCGGCTGCCATGATGATGCAGCCCCAGCCAGTGGTCCTGATGCCCACTGTATATCAGCAAGGAGTTGGATATGTGCCTATAGCAGGTATGTTTTCTTTCCTTGAAGACTCTTAAAACTTTCAGATGAAGGGTTTTTTAGAAATAACTACCAAATTTCTCCCTGATTTTTTTAGAATGTAAAGAAAACTATAAATTATTTTGTCCTTAACCATTTTTCCCATTATACATTTTAGGGAGGAGAAGAGCGAGTGACCTAAACGTAGGTCTGCTTTTCAGTCTTGTCCCCTGTTGAAGGGAGTTGCGCGAGTTTGATAAAACAATTTAATATGAAGCAAGCAGCTATTTGTTGAAATTATTCAGTTGAAACAAGCAGCTTTTGAAGGCTTATCTTCAGTATTTATTTTAGACTTATGTCAGGTCACTGAATAACTAAATATCTAGAAGGCTCCACTCTGTTATAATGTGTGCTTGTTTAAATGGTGACAATCCATGTGTGAAACTGTTCAGACTTCGGAAAGTGCACCAAATGATTTGTGCTGTTAGAGCTGCAGGTTGAATAGCCCATAAATGGATTGACTCTTCTGGGGCCTTTGAAAATGCTTTGTTGGAAGCTTGCTGTGTAATGTGTGAAGTGTGTAACACAGCAAATGAAAAATGTTAGGGAGCTCTGAGATAGTTACGTAAATACATAAAGAAGAAATAAAGCAGGTATTATCCATTCTCTGTCTGTGCAAAGTAAGTTTTGGACTTGTATAGAAAGATGTGTTAACTTGGATTTTGTAATTTTTCCTATCAAAGACAAAAAGCTTAAATTATGTAAATAAGCTTGAATTTGCCCTACTTAGCTAACTGATAAGTAAAATTCAGTTGGGTTTTTTGTTTTGCTTACAGCTCTGAAGAGCACTAGTTTTTGTTGTATGGACATTTTTTCTGTAATATGTGTATTTTTTAGGGCAAATAAGATATAAATTTCTTTGCATGTAAGTGCATGAATGAGTGGTAGAGTGTGTGGGACATAACTGCAGTACTAAGGGCTGACACAATAGATGCTTTTTTTTTTTTCCCTAAAGATTAAATTCCTGCTTGAATTTAAAATATCATGCTCTGTAAAAACAAACCTCTTCAGCGGAAGACTGGGTATTTAACTTAGATTCATAACTGCTGTTTCATTTTTATAGACTTAAGTTAGAGCAAAACATAGAAAAGTTTGGTTACATTCTTAGCCCCTGATGAAAGCATGCACTTTGCTTCATTCAAAGTGCTTTTATCTCTAGCTGAATTCTCAGGATTTAAGGCTTACTTGCTTTGCCAGTGAACTTGTTTCAACTTGTGTGTGCATCCTGAAGTATGATTTCATTGTGATAAGCCAGACTTCTGTGTAGCTTTTCTGTGTTTGAATTAGATGCCACATCTTTTTTGCTTGTAGGTTCATCATATCCTTATATACTGAAGCAGTTAGTGAACTTCAAACATAGTTATCTTGGGTATGGTTAAAAAAACCCCAGCTAGCTGAGGTGGTACATATAGCAGCGTAATTGAAGGTGCTATAGAATTTCTTGAACAGAACAAAATGAGAATATTCATATTGCAAAATTACTATGCCAGCTAGAGTACAAACAGTAGAAATGAAGAGACTAGTTTCAGGTATGATTGAAACTAGAATTAAACAGATAAAACTGATACTACACCTTCAAAGTTGAAAAACAAGTATGGTGGCGTATCTTGATGTTCAGATCTTGGTGTTCTGTAAATTTTGTATTTATCTTGAATATTTTCAGTAATACTTATTAAATCTACTTGGATAAGTAAAGAAATAACTAATACTTAGCAAGTGATAGTAGTGCCTGATATTTTAGCATAGAAGAATTTGCCTTTATGTAACAATTTTATTGATCAGGATGTTGGTGCATTGACCTTCTGCAAAGATCCAGCATACTTGTTTTTTACTGCTATGATAATGTATTAAAAATTCTTCCTGATTCTATGACTTGTATTTATAAAGCATTGCGAAGCCCACCCCTTGATTTAAACTTTTCATTTGTTCTGGGAACGCTTGAATGCACTGCCTTGACTTTTTAAATGCCAAACTTACTACAAGCCACCTTTTGACCTATTTTTGATATATATTTTTTTTAATATTACTGTGCTTTGTGTCTGCTATTCTAGAAATTGTTGGCACCATCAAAATTTCTCAAAGCATTGTGAGATTTAAAGCTTTTGCCTATTCACTAATCAATGACCCTCTCAGAATAACTAGATGGATGGTTAGGTTTGGACTTTGAAAGAGTACTTCTGTTGTTTCATACATTTAATTGTATGGCTTGAAAGTAATTTAAAATTATAAAAGGAACCAGTAGTGCATCTTGGAAGACATGGAGTATTGTCAAAATGTTTTCTCTATACTGAATTAGATGCTGCTCCAGGATTCTGTAAACCTTTTCAGAAAGGTGCATGCAAACTATGGGCCTTCCCTGCCCAGCTGAATTGATTGTATCTCCTGGGGAAACTCTGTTGGGACTCTTTCTTTGGAACACGGTACAGGGTTTTATCTCTTTTTGAGACTACTTCAAGTCATTAGTATGCTCTGCAGGAATATGTTTACCACCTTACCTTCTTCTTAGTTCAGATATTTTACCTACCCAGTTGAATAAGTGTGGTCAATAAGCAAGTTCTATTTGTTTCCTTTGGAAGAGTGGAAGAGCGGTGCTGGATAGTTTATTGGAACTGAAATGGAGGAGATTTCTGCTGTTGAGCGAGACTGTTAGAATCTAAGTTGGACTAAAATGCTTATCCACACAGTTTAACAGTTACTCTCAAAAATAATTGTGTTTTAAAGAGAGATAGCTTTAAATTAAATTTAGCTGTGTCATGAAACCCAAGCTCTTTTCTCTGTAACAGAAAATTTTTTTATACTAATAAAAATAATATAATAAAAATATAATATAAATAATATAATATAATAAAAATAATACAATACTTTAAAAAGCATCTGAAACTTGAAATGCCAACACAAGTAATGCTATTTTCCCCACATTTGATGGTATTTTTATAGATCTGTGGTGAGATAATAGAATATTCTTGCACCATGTTAATTAGTTTCAAAAGTTTTAAAAATTAAAAACTTCTGACAGTAGTGCTAGTTTCTACAGACTATAGTTGCCATAGATGGTACAACTATGGATTGGGTTTGGAAAGATTTGAATTTGTGATTCCTGTTGCTCCTCTAAAAATTGAGTTTATCTACCATCTCTTCCTGTTTCTTTTTCTAAAGATTACTTAATTTGGACTGTAGAATATTGAGGTGTACAAGTTCCTTAGGGTCCAAGCTGATGTTCTGTGTAGTGTATCCAAGACAGTAAGCTAAAAAAAAGTTAGTCCAATAAGCAATCTGTATTTCTTATTAGCTAAATATCCATGGGAGAGATAGAAAATCTATTTGGACTTAACCTGCTTTTTACATGAGTGTTTATAAGCTAAAAACTCATATGTGTCAGGGCCCTGTCAGAGTCCAGAACATAATTTTTCATGAGGCAAAGTTGTGTGTGTATGTTCATTACTCCTTTAGGTGTCTGTATTGAGTTTCATGGGTTAGCTTGCAATGTTACTGGTATTTGTTCAGAAAAACATGGATTTATGTTGTCCTTTGTGGGCTATGAAATATAATCCTTGTTGCAAACACTTGGTGGCTTGCTTATTTTGAAAATGTTTTCCTGAATTGTTTCTTCTGAAAAAAGAGCACATTTAGGAAACTTGTTCAGAGCGCTGCAGTAAATTAATTGGGAGACTGAATCCTAGCAGCATTTAGGTTTTTATGTTAGGTAGTTTAGGTTTTACCCAATTGCCTCGTTTATCCAACTTTCACCTTTGGAAGCTAAATGATTCATTTCCTTTTAAAAATAGATTAATATTTCTTTCCAATGTCTTATTCCTTTCCCCTTGCCCCTTCATTTTCCACCTACTTTTAGGGCTTGAGTACTTTGCTCTGGGTAAGTTTCCAAGCTCTTTTCTCACTCCCATCCTCATTGACTCAAGAATCTTTGCATGAACTCATCTAAACAGCTTTATTTGTTGCAGCAGACTGTATCACAAGGCATTGCCACTTGGATGTCACAATAGAACAATTTAATGCATCTCTTGGAAATTGTTAAAGCCCCTTTAACCTGTTGGAAAGTCTTTAAAGGCATCTGCTCAGCTTCAAGCTATAATAACAAAGTCAAGTGTTGATGGATAAAACACATTGCTAATATTCTGAAATTTGTATTTCACTGAGCTACTCTAGATGTTCTCCTGCTGCAAGGTTTGGGGAGAAGCAGGTAATGTCATGACTTTTTGTAAACTTGAAAGTGAAGAACTCAGTTCTGCAATGACATTAAGAAGACAGCCTGCCAGTTGCCTTCTGTTAATATCCAAATAAGTCTTTTTTTCAAAAAGATAACACTTTTTTCATCAGTGTGTATCTTTCATGTACCTCTTTGCTAGCTCCATATTAAGCTAAGCATCTGATTTGAACTCTGAAGGAAAATTATGTTACAGGAAATTAATTTTCCTTCAATTTAGACTTACTATGACACTTTCATTTTGAATTGTGCAAAGATGTGACATCCTTAACTTTGGTAAAAGCATTGGTCTTCAAGTATGTTCAGCAAATTCTAGAATTACTCCTTGTGACATAATTCTTGATGCTCTGAATTTCTCAAAAGTTGCTGTAAATAAATCTGATGCAGTTGTCATAACGTATTGAGTTTATTCAGAGCAGTGGAATTGTAGAACTTTTCTGTGGGTCCATATGCTTCACTTTCCTAGTAGTTTGCAAAGTAGTGTTTTAAAAAAAATGAGATGGTGGTGTGCATGTTTTAGCACTGACTTTTTTCTGAAGCAAATATCATTGACCTATCCATGTATTTTTGAAAAGGTGATACTGATTTCTTCCTTTAAATGAAAGAATTCGTGCTGAGAAGGTTCCTGAGTTTTCTCTGAAAGGGTCTATGCATGGGACAGAATAATCATGAATTAAGAAATTAAACATGGGGCACTTGACAGAACAAGAAAATAAAAAATGTGTAATGCCTTGTGTGCAGTTAACCCACTCTGTTAATTCTGCTGTGATGCTTCCATTGCTGCTTGTAGCAATTGACTTGCTGTTCTACATACTTGTTTCATGTATTGGAATGTCACTGCTTATGCCAGCATGTTTGCCACTGACATTTCACTGAATTGGAAACCAGCGTTCCATTCTTCTGATTTATAACACTTACCTAATATCCAAGAACAACACAGGAGTGTGCAATGCCATTGATAGGGGGTTCTTATGAGGTTTAGTTTCAGTTTTCACCTGTTAGTGAAATGAGGTGCTTAATGTCTAAAGCAACTTCTTACTGAACATTTTGAAGTTTATTATAACTTTCTGTAATGACTGCATATCTGTATATATGTATATATGCTAAATTTTGGTGTGTAGTTCTTTATGCTTAAGTCTTGCTTACTCTTTTGTAGATCAGAAATTATGGATGCTTTTAGCCTGAGTGCAGAATAAAGAAAAAAAAAAGTTACTCTTTAAGTTGGTATTTATATAGCTTGAATGTTGTGTTTCATAAAAATTAAGCATTTATCTTGGAGGTATTTATTAGAGATCACTGTGATGCTAACTTCTATTTGTGTACCTTGTAGCAGTAGACAGCACTAACTCTAGAAGAGCTGAGAAAATGGATTTTGAAAATAATTAGTGAAAAAATACAATCAGTAAATTTCTTTTCTAAAATTGAATATTTAGATTGAAAATACTTCTTGAATACTACCTCTGCAGGTGTCTGGCTTCATAATTAGCTTCATAATTACCTTGCTTTGAAACCAGTAAGAAAAACTCTGTGCTGGTCTTTATTTTCTTAGCACTGACAAAACAGTGAAACTTTATTGCTGAGCTGTAGGATGTTGTGGCACTTTAATTGAGCCTCATGGTTCATATGGGTTAATAATTTAAACTGACCTCTTGTATAGGTAGTTCCTTCACAATTTAGGCTGATAGTGGGATAATTTTAGGGTGCTGATGACTTACTAAAGAGTGTTAGAAAGCTTGTGTTGGAAGTAAAACATAACTTCTATTGCTTTGTTCTTTCAGGTGCTTTGCAACTTCATTTTTTGAGGCTGTATATTTTTGTTCATCTCTTGTAAAAGCCTGGATGGTTTGTAGGAAGTGTGAGGGATGAGTTAAGGCTTGTTGAAGCTGTAGGAGAGGCGGTCTGAAATGCTGCTGGATATGATTGTTGGGTAAAGTGTATTTGCAGTGTTGGTGAGGGTTGCAAAGAGGTTTGTCTGCAGACTGCACACACGGTCTCATTTGCCATAGGTTCAAGCACGTAGTGCGCGACAGAATTTCAGGGACCATAGTCCAAATGGCATAAGCTCTTGAGCTAAAGTTTATGTTGTTGCAGAAGAGGTGATAGATACCCTTAGTAGTGGTGTGATGCAGATGGCTGGGCAGAGACGTGGTTCCAGTGTGTAGGTAATAAATTTACAGTGAGAGGGACATTTCTTTAGTTGGCAGCAGGGACCTTTTCAAATAGATGCAGCCTGTGCTTTAGACTTAAAGCATCTAGGTTCCTTTTTTGCTTCTAATAAAAATTAAGATGATTACAAGGGGAGTTATTTTAAAATCAAAAATTGGAGAACATTGATAAGTATGGAGGTGCTTACAATCAGTAATGCATCCCCTCAGAAAGGACAGAAGTCCAAGTTAAAAGAAATAACAAAGAGCACATTAGGTAGAATCACGATTGCAATGCACACAGTCAAACTATATTCAACTACAATACGTTGTCAGCCAGAGCTGATGTAAATTAGGGTGTGTTTAGGTGATCCAACCTTAAATGTGAATTTTAAAATGGCATTTTTAAACCTGATAGAAAAAAGATAATCACCGAGATGCTAAAACATTTGTACAAGTTAGAGTGAGCACAGACATTTCTGATGAAATAGTTACAGGTTAAAGAAAGTCTTGAAGAGACAAGGTAAGTATTGAAATTGCTCGTTGCTCTTTTTTTTAGATGTTGTCTAAATAGAAGTAGCGTAATACAGTTGCAATACATTTCATCTCTTCAGTACCTTAGTCATTAGGCTAAGAGATGAGGCTGCTAAGAGGCACACTTGAAAATTGTCAGTTGTAATCTGCTTTATGTTGTTAAGCGTTTTGAGCAGTTAGAATTCAATAGAAAAGAAGCAACTTTTAATCGACTCCTGAGTAATATATGACACCTGGTTGAAAAAGCATCTTATTTAGAAGATGTGTAATAGTGGTGATGCAAATAGATCATCCTTTGTTTAACAAAACAAAACCAAAAAAGCATGCTATTGGAGAAACCTAAAAATCTGCAGTGAAACAGTAGAGTGGTTTCTGCCAAAAAGTGGTAGGTCTGCCCAAATGAGGGGATATGTGAGAGTTGAATTAGATATTAAATCCAAACTGGTAATAAGGTTGGGTAACAAAGCTTTGGAAGATCAAATGTGTAAGGAGTTGAGAACTCTGTATTTTAAAGAAGCAGAGGAGCTAGACTCATTTAGGTAATTAAGTGATTATAAAGATATAAGTATGTAAGGGAGTACAGAAAAACCCACTTGGAATGTGAGGAGGAAGTAAGTTTGGTTTTGTCCCTCTTGGGAAGGAATGCATTTTATGGAGAAGGAGCCTCAGATTATAATTTTTGAGTTTAGCACTTAATCGTTAAGATTATCAATAAGGAAGTGCAGGTAAGATAATACTTATTTCCAGTCTTGTATTATGGATTTTTTTAATCAAATGCAGTATGTAACCTATTGCTTAATTAGTCTTGCTTTCAGAGGACTGGAGGATAGCAAACAAGTTCTTTTAAAAAATGGTTCTGAAGTAACTGTCTGTAGATAGACAGTAATATACTGATTAAAACCTATGGAGATTAGAATGAGCTGATTTAAAGCAAACTATTAACTAGGTAAACTTTAGGAGGAGATGACACGGTTATGTAAGGAAAGCTCATACCTTAGAAATTATAGGTGTATGAGTATGTGGGTAAGAATGATGTAGTCTGTGCATATCACTGTCAGCTGCATTTTTCAAAATGTTACTTGCTAAGGACACTCTTCCTATTATATGATATTCTGATACAGTAAAGGTCCTCTTGTGGTTTAATAGCTATTTTGAAAAGCTGATGAACAGATAAAAGTAGGTGATAAATCATACCCTAATGGAGGGAGGCCTTTGGGGTGCCTCATATTTTTAGAAAGCTAATCAAGGGGACAATTTGTCAAAACAAAAACTATTCTCAATTTTCTAGGTCTCTGACTACAGCAGGTTGTAGAAAGATCTCATATGGGAAATAAAATCGCTTATTAAGGCTGGTGTTAAAGTATTGTGTAAAGAAAAATCTTAACTAATACATATTTGGTGATGATTTTTTGATAGGTCATTACTACAGATAAAGATCTTCTGAATTACTATAGGCTGTTCCGTGAAACTACCAGGTGAATGGTGTTTGAAAGAGTGGATAAAATCTTTGAAAGCAAATAGGGAACAAATACAAAACATTTATCATGCTGCTGTGTGAAGCAGTGCCGTGTTTGTGTCTAGATGTAGGTATAATAGTTCTCCTTGCCCTGCCTTCAATACAGCAGAAGTGGAAAAGTAGGACATGAAGGTGTGGGACTAACATAATCAGGGGGTCTAGAACTACTTAGAGAAATGAAATACGCTGTTTTCAGAAGTGATCACAAAAGAATCTAGATGTATACTATACTTGGTTTCAGTTTTATAAAAACAAATGGTAGCGCTTTCAGCAACAGATCTATGCTTAATTAATGATAAATGTTAAGTGATGGAAAAGGCCCTTTGTCTAGTAATTCCTTTTAACAGGAATTAAAAAACTCATTTTCTAAAACTGTCTTTATAAACTGCCAGTGCTTTAATTTTACACAGACATACAAGAAATCAATCAAAAATGTCAGATAAATTCTGTCCTCTGGCAGAGGAACAGAGAAAAGCAGTGTGTACCCACACAGGCATGAGAGGAATTGCTCTTTTGCCCCTTTGTGACTTTGCTTGCTGAACTGAATGGAACTTAACCAGAGAAAAACATTGGCTTAAAATTTGCTTATGAGTGTGGTCCAGTCTCCTACTAGACCTCAGTACTTTCTTTCGAATGCAATGGAGATTGCATTCATTGAATTTCTAATTATCAGTTATGTATACTGCTGATGTAAAACCATCTCTTTCATCATGACATAAATGCACTAGAAACTAAAGTATGAAGGAAACAGGGAGAAAAAGAACAACCACAGCTTTCTGCGGTGTGCGTAGTGTTTTATTAGTGATTCATGTGTAGACCTGGTTGATGCAAGTCGTACCTAATTTTGAGCTGTACGTTTTACCATACTGTAGTTTACCACTTCTGAATCATAACTGGGGCAGAGAACCTATTCCAGAGAAAGTATTCTGATTGTAATGGTCTAGATAAAATATCTACAATATCTCTTTTTCTTTTTTTTCTTTTTTTTTTCTGGAGTATATGTTGGTGTTTTTTTTTAAAAAATCTGAAGTTGTTGGGTTAGGGTGAGTCATGAGCTGCTTCAAAATCATTGATTTCCCCCCCCCCCCCCCCCC